ACTACCTACTCCTAAGGCTATCTAGAGGGGACCCCTGCAAGCATAGTTTCCTCTCACTGTGAAGGGGAGATTTCATGTTGCCCCTTGCCCCTAATTTTTAGGGTAAAGGGTTGGGGCCGCCAGTGGGGGTCTGGCTAACACAAAGACCGAGACCTGCCAGTAGCTGCGCCTCCCTTTTTCATCGTATCGAGTAGCAGCAGTGGCTGTCTCGCCGTGGGCTGTGAGATGTTCAGATTGCATGGCAAGAACCCATGTGTACTCGAAACCAAGGGCCTACCGTAGTTCGCAGCCAGGAATGGCTGCGTATACGGGGTTGCGTTTTGTCGTTTAGCGGCTGCGTTTCCGTTTGGGGAATGTCGTCGACCTTTTCAGATGCAGCGAGATGGCCACGTTGTCCAGCTGCATTCACAATGTTGTCGGGTGGAGAGTCGTGCAACGTCGTGCAACTAGGCCTTAAAAACAGGTGTAAGTGGGTATACAGGGCGTCGTGGTCGCCGACAGGAGACAGACCGGTCGTTCCGTGAGGTAACATGGTGGCGGTCACGGAGGAGGACGCGTGGTCGCTGGAGACAAACGGGTCGTATCGACAGACCGGTCGTAGCGTCGTGTCGGGTATAGGAAAGTCGGGAAAGGGTTATCTGACCGTGCATTAAATAGGGAGATCGACGTAATCCACACATCTATTCAGAATGTTGGGGTCTTTCATTGTTGCAAGACACATGGCCCTGAAGATTGTCATTTTTTTTTTTTTTTTGTATTGTGTGTATCTTACCTGTGAAGGCGCATTTGAGGCTTTCTTGAATCTTACTTGTGAAGGCGGACAGGTGCGCACCACGTTTCAGGCTTTCTTGATCCGGGTCTGCTCTGAGGGGAAGCAGGCTGCACCTGGCTGCCATTGTGTCTTTCTGCGGGTGTGGTGGAACTTGGAGTGGCAGTTCGCAGCCAGGAATGGCTGTGTTGCTGGCTGCGTCCTGTATCTGCCCTCAATCACAGGGTCCTTTTTTTTCTTCTTTTTTTTCTTTTTTTTTTTGCCGTGTAATTGTCCCCTACACGCCCTCACTGAGGGCACAGTCACACTAGCACCTCATTGAATGTACCTGGAAGTTATAGTGGCGTTTGGGATGTTTGTTTTTCACAGGTCGACAACAAAAGTGCAGCGAAGCTCTAGTGGGCTGGTCACCGGTCCGCCGCCGTCCTGGCTGCGCCCCCACGCCCGAGCGTGGTATCAGTTGCTCTACTCGTCATCCGCTAATATTTTGATTGCATGTGGACATCATTTTAATCAGATGCATTCCAAATCTTGGTGGATGGCGAGTACTGCACCTACCTAGCGCCCAAGTCTCCCTTCCTTCGACTGAGACAGGGAAGTGCGTTGGTGGACGGCCGTTGAATGCACCATCCCTCGGCTGAAATTCGCGCTCGCTCTCGGCTGAAACTCCCGCTCGGCTAAAATTCCCGCTCGGCCGAGCAGACACCCTCCCACCAGTTGGAAGTCTCTTCCCAACGTCCAAGTTTTTTTTTTGGTTTTTGTGTTTTAAAAAGACAAGAATGTCCAAGTTTGACGACTCGTCTATCTATCCATATTGACAGATACAGAAAATAATACGGTCGTCAGTGCAGATCCTGTTCCAGTACGGGCCCCTTCGTCGCAAGAGCGGGCCCCTTTTTTCAAAAACGGACTGCGGAGGAACAGAGCTAGCTTTCTCAGCATGGAGTCGGCAGCCTCCGCGCGGGCCCATGGTCCATCTGTCGTCGCCGCCTGGCTCAAGCTAATCGCCGATCCCCGATGAGTCAGTGGCTCTTGATCGTGGGCTAGGTCCCGCTTACACGAATTATGCGATATTGACCGTAGATAGCAAAGATCAACGGCCAGAAAATCTCTTAATCCGTGCAAGTGGGACCTTGCCCCGTATGATGTCGATCAAGCGAATCCCCGATCAGTACCTGGTGATAGTATGATGTCAAACAACCGCACTACCGCTTCGTGTCTCTGCTCTGGTAGTCTTTTTCCTGGGGCGAGGTCCCACTAGCAGAGAGGATTGGCTTGAAATGCCTGAATCTGGACGTGAATGAGGACGGATGCAGAAAACCGTGACTGATCTGCTTTTCTGCATCTCCTCCAAGATCCTATCCAGATTCAGGCTCCTAATTCGATCCTCTTTGCTAGTGGGGCCCCGCCCCTGGAGATATGTTGAAGCAAGCAGCGGATGGGTGATCACTTGCGTGCTCAGTGAAGTCTCAAGCTGTAGATCGGGCACGTGCGCTGGCTTGGCGCCAAGACCGCCTCTGCAACTCTGTGTATGTGTGTGTGTGGCGGTGTGCTCACCCGCGCGCGCGTGGGCGCACAATCAGTGGTGCTGTCTGTGTCTTCCCCTTCTCCGTCCCTCCGCACTCTATAGCTCTCCGCCCACCCTTCCCCTTCCCCTTCCCCTTCCGTCCCCGTTTCTTCCCTGTGTTTTGCGCGCGCTCGTGCGTCGTGAGGTGCCTTCGTTCTCTTCCTTCCCGCTCGATTATCCCGCCCCCGCCGTCTCCTTCCGCCAAATTTTTTCCCCCGGAGTGGAGGTTTGCTGTGCGCGCGATCTGCCCGGCGGCTGTCCATTTGCCCCGCCTTCGGAGCTCTCCTTCCCGCGCTCTCCCCGCATCAATTCTGTCAAATTGATGTGTACGTGATGTTGACGGCGTTTCCCCGCCAAGTGTCGGTCTTTCCCTGTCCGTCCAATTACCTCCCCGCCGCCTCGCCCCTCTCCTTCCGGCATTTTCCGAGATTCCCCGCCCATTTACGTGAGGCCGCTTTTCCCGCCCTTTCCCAGATTCTTTCAAATTGATGAGGCATCTTTTCCCGCCCTTTCCCAGATTCGTTCAAATTCATATGTGTGCTCGGCGTTCGTCTCCTCCTGTCCCCGCCAAGTGCTCGTCTACTCCTGTCCCCGCCAAATTTTCGTCTCCTCCTGTTCCCGCCAAGTTTTCGTCTCCTCCTGTCCCCGCCCATTTACGTGAGGCCGCTTTTCCCGCCCTTTCCCAGATTCTTTCAAATTGATATGTGTGCTCTGCGTTCGTCGTGACGGCCTTTCTTCGCCGAATGTTCGTCTCCTCCTGTTCCCGCCAAGTGTTCGTCTCCTCCTGTCCCCGCCAAATTTTTGTCTCCTCCTGTCCCCGCTCATTTACCCCGCCTCGGCCTTCTCTCTGTCCCCCGCCCGTTTCCCCAGATCCATTGCTGGGTGCGTGACTTTGTTTCCCCGCCAGTTGTCGCTCCGTCCCGCTGCTGACGTCCTCGCATGTGGAGACAACAGCCGTCGAGCAAGGGGCTGAGCAAAGAAGCGCGCTGGGGCTAGGTCCCACTTACACGAATTAAGAGATAATACTGACCGTAGATAGCAAAGATCAACGGCCAGAAAATCTCTTAATCCGTGCAAGTGGGACCTTGCC